TCAAATGAGTGTTTAATCTGTCTTCCTCTAGTGAATAAACAGTCCGGACAAAAAAGTACCGTGTTAATGCCCTTCTGCTGCGTGATGCCAATGCAAAAGAGGTTGGTGGAGTTGCCTAATGAGGCGTTTGAATGTTCCCATAAGGGTGGATTCCCCCCTCTGGCTACAGCCTGTCATAGAGCAGATTGTTCCCCACCAGGGCTCCCAAGGTGTTAAACTGATACAGATATCAGAGGACTCTGTGCTGCCTAACAGCTTTCACTGAAAAGCTCTTCTTCTTGGACTATTCTCCACTGGGACAGTGGAGCTTCTGGCGGCTCCAAAATGTCTGACTTTTCTCGGCTACAATCCCAAAATTATCTCAACCGCAAGAAATGCTAAAACATTTGAAAACTTGCAAAGATGTGAGCCTATTATTATTATTTTATGACCCACTCAAGAAAATATTTTGTGGTAAAGGCAGCATGTCTGTATTAACAAAATAAAATTTAACTATTGTTTAGAACATACCTGAAAAGGGCATGTTTATGAAGGTAGATGAAGATTTTTTTACCGTAATTGAAAATATATTTTTTGATTAAAGCAACCTTTTTTTGATTGAATAATAAAGAATCAAATCTACCTTCATACCAGAGGAGTGATTTGCAAGCTTTGAGCAACCTCAGTCAAAATCTTCAAGTTAGCATTAGTAAAATATATATTTTTAAAATAAAATTTTTTTTTTGGTTATTTTCATATTCTTGCCTAAAGATAAACCAGATTTTTTAAAATTCATTTAACAAAGTAGTGCACTGTATAAAAAAACATCTTTTCTGAGCTCAGAAATATATATATTTTTTGTGTTAACATGAAAAACTTAATGTTTAATATAAGGGAAATAAACTAAGTCCGTTGAGCAAACCAAAGTAGTTAAAATCTTTAACTACTCTCACTTTACTAAGTGAGCTGCTAGTACTTATACATTATAAAAAATCTACTTTACAAGCCAATACCAACATAAAAACTTTCAGTTCATAGGTAATAGGTAATATTAAGTAGCATACATATAGATAATATATTACATTTATGTCCGTAAATCCGTAAATTTCACAATGTAGCTTTATCTCTGTCAGGTTTCTCAATCATTGTAAAAATAATTAACTAGAACATGGTTGTCTTAAAAAAAAAAAAAAACTGGGGTAATAATGTTCGGAGTAGAGATCCAGAGTTAGCTCAACGATTCAGTTACTACAGCTAGAAACCACTGATTATGGCTGAAATTTGGTGTCATGATGGACTCAGACCTGAAGCGTCAAAGGCATATACAGAAAGTTAGTCAGCCTTTTATCACCTGAAGAACATTTCCAGAATTAAAGGACTAATGTCCAAGCAGGAGCTAAAAACACCAGTTTATGCATTTATCTTTAGTTGAATCGATTAAAGCAACAATGTCTTCATAGTTTTACCTAAAAAGTTCACCAGGCAGCTGCAGCTGATCGAAAACTCTGCTGCCTGTGTTCTCACTAGAGCAAAGAAAGTAGAGCACATCAGCCTGGTTCTGAAGTATTCCACTGGCTCCCTGCATCTCAGAGAATAGACTTTAAAATCTTTCTGTTAGTCTATAAATCTCTGAATAGATCAGCACCTCAATACATAACAGATTTGTTGTCAGTGGATCAACCTACCAAACCACTCAGGTCCTCTAGTTCCACTCTACTCTGTCCACACAGAACTAGAACCAAACATGGAGAAGTCAAAGTTAAAACCCTTTTCTTTAGAGCTGCCTTTGACTGCAAACTGAGGTATCATTAGTTAAAGATTGGGACCCAACTGTTTCATTAGTATTACTACCTGTTTTAATCATGTTTTTATTTTTATTTGCTTTTATTCTGCTTAAATTTTTCTTCTATTTTCATGTAATTCACTTTGACCTGTCCTTGTTGTGGGGAATGGTGGCCTAGTGATTATAGCATAGAGCTTGGAATCCTTAGGTTGTGAGTTTGAATCCTACTTCCACAGGCTACCACTCTAGGTCCCCTGAGCAAAAAAAGACCCCTAACCTCACACTGCTCCCCGGGCGCCGAAAATGGCAGCCCAATGCTCCCCAAGGGGATGGGTTAAATGCAGAGAGTAAATTTACCTATGCTGTACTGTACTTGTGACAGAGTAATGTCAATAAAAAAACAAACAAAATGCTGGTACTGAATTGTGCTATACAAATAAACTTGGCTTGCCTTTTGCGTTCCGCTGACATACAAGAACCTGCTTGCTATGTAGTCTCACAGGCATTATTACTTAATAAACAAAACACGTTTTTTATTTGTTTAACATTAGCCATTTTAGAATGATTCACTCTGCTGGAGTTTATAGCTTCCCACCCAGGCGGAGGGCACGCTTGTTCTGTGTGTAACATACTTTCTGTCATTCTGCCTCACAGACTAACATAAACGTCCAGGAGGATCTGCTGCCACATTAATCAAACCCATTAGGCAGCTAACGGGAGAATACTTACAGAGAACATTAGGGCTGTCGCTGGATCTAGCCCAGGAAATTAACAACTCGCCAGACAGATACAATCCACAGTAGATATGAGCGATAGGAGTGGAAAGCATGGGAGGTGGGGTGAGTCCATCTCTGGTGTGTTCACACAGCTAACTTGACAGAAGCAATTAAGCTGCCTAGACTATTCCGCATATTGTAAGCTACACCTCATTTCAGTGCAAGGAGACGGTATGCACCTGTAACATCCCCACAACCGTCTCCCTTGGCAGACGGTTATGAACGCTCGCTCACAATCCAACTTTGAGTTCATGACCAAAATGAATATGGAAGATTTTCCAAAGGAACTAATGAATAGACAACACTGCAGTGTTGTTTTTACTGTTGATGCGGATGTTTCAACATTGCTCTAAAGAAGAGGTGAATTCTAAAACATCAACTTTATGCCTGAACTTGGTGCACATAAGACCTTAAACTGAAAGCAAATTAAAAACGGTAAACCTGAAGAGCTGATCTGCAGTTGGGCATGTGTTTTTTGTGCTTAAAATTTCAACAAGTGTTCAGTGTAGAATGCATATGGCTTTTATCATACATAATGCAACTGCAACATGTGAAGTAACTATATACTGGGAACAATAACAATACAGAACACTGCCACGCTAGTCACCCAGAAGTACCTCTAACCTTAGTCATCAAAATCTACATCCAGAGAAGCAAAATAATACAGAAAAAAAACATTATTTCCAGCTCTATGCTTACCTTGCAAGAAAGATGCAAAGTCATTTGCAAGAAAGGTGTCACGAGATTTTTTAATTTACAAACTGCCAAAAATACATCTTGCTAGAAGTCAACAGATACATTAGCCTCAAAACTGAAATGTTTCAGACCAATGAAATACAGTGACGTGTATTAACACTTCCACCAGAGGTGGAAAGCTAGAAGCAAAACAAACATGGCTGCAGCGGTTTTTGCTGGAATACCCTTTATTTATAATTATATATATATATATATTATGAGGCTGAGTTTGCATCATGTCCAAAACAGTCCAAAAACATGACTGTTAGGTTAATTGGCTTCTATAAATTGGCTTCTATAAATCCTCCTTAGGTGTGTGTGTGTGAATGGTTGTTTGTCCTGTTTGTCTCTGTGTTGTCCTGTGATGGACTGGCGACCTGTCCAGGGTGTACCCTGCCTCTCGCCCATAGACAGGTGGATATAGGCACCAGCTTCCTCGTGTCGCCAGCTGGGATAAAGCGTGATGGAAAATAGATGGACGGATGGATAATTCATGTTTAAATAGCTAGAGGCAATTACTTAAAAATATAAACAAAATGAAAACCTAAGCAGAAGACTTTTCTCATCTTTGTTTTACTCTGAAGTGAATCCTCCCAGCGGTATTAAATTAACTATGTGATAAGACTCTTTGGATTAGCAGAAAGAGGAATTTTAAGGCATCATACTTTGATCTGTTTCATTATTTCACATTTACAAGATGTTAAGTTAATTTGCTTTTCACAATCTTGCTGTACTAAAGGGATTTTTCTAGGCATTTTTTTCTGAAACGGACAGATGCAAGAACAGTTTATCTTTTTTTTTTTGCTTTTTGATTGATTTGTTGACATTCTGCAGAAGAGTGCTTTCTGTTTCTGAAAATAAAGTTTAGTTGTCTACCTCAGCAGGGGACTTTTCATTCTGTTGTGCTTCATGTTGTATTTAAGTAAGACATATAAAAACAAAACAAAAGGGGGCTGACACTAAAATAGAAAAAAGAAACATGCAGCGTGCAGGTCAGGGATAAACCTGCACAAAGACTTTGACTATTTGAGAGAACTCTGTTCAATACATTACTTAGAACAGAAATACTAGGAGACAGGTGCAACAAAGAAAGGAGACAAAAGAGAAGGAAATTATACTTTTTTTAAAATCAGATTTTCTTAATTATTACTTTAAGACACAACAATTTTTAGACACAACAAAGTTCTTGCAGCTTATCTTCCGGCAAAAGCCTCAGGAAGACTAAATGCGAATGTTCAGCCCCTGTTTTGGACTTTTGTTTGTAAAAAGACATAAAAATCATGATATACACTAACCTATGCAATCCCAGTAACAATAGACAGTAAGGTTTTTATTTATAAGGAAAAGTTGTGAAAAAGTAATACAACTTAATTATTTATAAGGCAATGCATTTAGATGATCAATGCAACACCAGCAATGACAGATAACTGACAATGCTGGCCAAAATTGAAGTTGTGAACATACAACAACCTTTATGTTTTTTCTCTCCACTGTCACTACAAGCATGCTTAGTGTGAGGGATTGCCTTCAAGTCAATAAGTCAATACAATCAGTTGGTTTTTGTTTGATAAAATCTGGTTGGATTGTCTCTGTAAAGAGCCTGGAGATGATATGAATGAATTGAATTTAATTGAAAATGATCAGTTAACACTTAAAGTGGCCTCAGAAAGTGTGTTTAAGATTATCAAAATAAAGAAAGCTGTCACTTTTACTGGCACCTTACTGACCTTGACCACGTCCTCGTCTGTCGAGCGACATTTCACTGCTTCAGAGACATCAGTGACAGAGGCGTCTGTTGCAATGGTCACTACCTTTACTGGGACAGCGACCGTCTTTCCAGTCAGGACAGCCGTGTTCAGAATCTCAGTGTCCTAGAAAGGGAAAATACAATTTAAGGTCAACAAAAAAACTTACATGAACTGCTCTTCGAAAAGCGGTATAAAAAGAACAGAAACTGAATGCACTAATAATTATGTAAAACACAATATAAAAAAAAAATTAGCTGATAAATTAATTTGTTAAATGTGTAATTTTAGAGTATTTTTTTTATTTTCTGATTCTATTAATGCAACATCAACTGTGCAAACCTAAACTTAATTTGAAGCTGTTGAATTATAATTATTAGAATTACTTTTTATCTCTAATTTTAATATTAGGTGCTCCTTCTGTCATAAAATGTGTCAGCTTGTGTGTTTCTAGTTTTTCCTGTAAAAAATAGGAAGAGATTTGATGGAACAAGTGTAAAAAAAAAAAATCATTCTGCTCCATTTTGTCATGAGTTCAATATTTGTCTACAAGATCTTTTACCTAATTACTTAGTTAAATACCCTCCTTATCTCATTTCAGCTCTTTGGAGCTAATTTCAGCTCAGTCTTATGTGTATTTATTAACTTCTATTAAAATATATAGTTAGGTAAATCATAGCATTTTGATTTATTTATGGCTGTTCTATACTACAATACAGGTTCCACTTTTATTTTTTTACAAATGCATATTTTTCTGGGGGGTTGGTTGGGGGCACAATTGCCCTACACGCTGTTATCTTCAACACTGTATATGATGCTCTTTTTATCCACTGCTTGTCATTGTTAGTTGCACTTTCTTTAATGGATCCTGCTTGTTGTTTCTGAAGAGGTTGAGGTTTTACTGTACTTAGCCATACAATAGCCTTTATCAATGCTGTTAAATGATTTTCTCAGCCCTGCGGAGTGTAAGAGTTGAAAAAATGTATACAATTTTAAGGTATTTATTGTAACTGGTAATTCTATTTTTCAACTCAAAACCATGTGCAGGGTCAAATGCATGCTAATAATTTAGTATAAGTAATAGTAGACAGTAAAAAAAAGGGCTAAATGTTGGAAACCGTAAATCATATCCCAGCCTTATGTTTATATTTGATCACTGCTGCACTTTAAAAACTGAACTTTTTCTTGAGAACTGTACTGAACAAAACTTCTTTTTGTATACACTCTGTGTGTACAAAATGACAAAGTCTGCCTAAGTCTAAAGGACTGGTTATACTCCCGCAGCAGTGTGTCGCAGTGAGCTTGTTGCAGGTATGATGCAGATATTTTTGATTTATGCCCAATATTGAAGCGTTGTCTCCGCTATGTTATTCCACGCCAAAACGCAAGAGGGACGACCAGGAGCTAGCTCTGGCTGTGGGTCTAAATACGGCCGAGGTGGTGAGGAAGGGGGGACAAGTTTTATGTGACAACGGAGAAACATGAGGGCGAAAAAGGTCCAGGTGGAAAAAAGGTCCCAGCGTTTTCCCGCACCACGCTCTTCTAGCTGGTCCATCTTCACAAGTCGTTTTCCACAATGGCGGTCATACAAACAAAACAAGCCAATAAGGTACCAAACAGGAAATATGCATAGTGTAAAATGGATGTAGGTTTGACTATTTAGAGGCACCCTGTCTGCGGCCACCTACAATTTCTGAGAGTTGTAGCAGAGTGTCTGAAGCAGACGACCTGGTTTCTGAGTATAAATCCACCTTCAGTCTAAGTCAGTAAAGTAGACAGAATGTCCTTTTATGCCCACTTACCTGGGTCATGGCAACCACAAAACAGACTTAAATCGCCGACAACCGGATTCTGCTCAGTTTTTTTAAACACCTTTCAACACCTATTTGATTAATGTTTTGTAGAAGGCCGGATGTTTGTTTCACTTTCCAGTTCAAATATACCAATCCATATAACTACATCATTATATAGTAGCAGACCAGGGAAATTGTGAAATGTCTTGGAGGAAGTGTGAAGGATCAGTGTTAATTGTGTACAGCTAAGAAAATATATGATTCTGTACTGTAATTTTCAACTAGTAGCCTTAACACCAAAAACAAGAGATGTTGACAAACTTATAAACCAAAATAACTGAAATGCTGGGAAAGGTTTTGGCAAAGTAATCATAAATATACCAGAACTACCTCCCCAGCAGTCTGGTTCTTATTATTTAGTGCCCAATTAGACCATATCCTTTTCTCACTGAGACCACCAAATCCTCCAATTTTCACCTCCACTGCAGAAGAAGTGCTCTTTGTAATTGAACTAATTGGTCTAGACAGCTTTGCTTCTCAAGTTCATTGCCACAACTCCACAACTCCGAACAGAAATCTTAACCTTTAATTACAGACACACAGTAACACGCAACACTTTTGTCGATGAAGATAACTGGGACCAATTAGATACGTACAAGGTAAGTTTTACTCTCTAAACTTACCAAAGCATAAAAGATGAACAACCTGCACTGAACTTATGCTGATATTAAACTCTGCAAATAGCTCCTTCTTTTGTCAATAACAGCCGTAATGGTTGGGCTGAACAACAAACAAGCCTGCTTTACTTTGTTGGACCCAAATTACTTCTTCTAATTTTTAAACCTGACAAAAGTCTCTTATTGTGAGATGCTCCCATTCTGCTATTGGTGCCATCTGGCTTCTCTCCCTCGATATCCTGTATTTCAATAGTCAGGAACCCCAAGGCACTTTTCTCCCCATCACCCCCATTGCATTAAAGATTTGTGGGATCCTCAGCTTTTTCTTCCTTCTCTTTTGAAAAAAAATCTATCTCTGGAGTAAAAGGATGTCTGCGGAATTAAATGTCACATTTGTTTAGAGTTTTCCAGCTAAACCTGATGAGCACCGACAGGACTGACTTCACATCCGCGTTCATGGGTATTCCCAAAATATATGAACACTCACTGTCAACTCAGTTTGTAAAGACTTGTATTCGTGAGCCTTAAAATGAGACTGATTCAAAAAAATAAAGAGAGAGAAAAGGGGGATTAGGTTTGATTGAAAGAAGTCTGGGCTTTGGGAGACTTTGCGACTTTACAGTGAAATTATTATTAGTGAAACCAACAGATACCAATGAATCACAAAAAACACTTAATCATCAAATAGCTTTTCATTCAGGTTTTATAGACTGTGACACTGGAATATAAACCTTCTCTCTGTCTGTGGCGCTGACTTTGATTCAATTTTCCTTAAAATTGAGGACTGCGGTAAATTAATTCTATGTCTGCTGGGATTCTTCCATTTTCTGGGGGTCATCTATAATATATAAGGGGGTAAATGGTTGGGACCCGGTAAAAGCGGAGGCTAATGTTAGATTACAGCAGCTGGAAATGACCCAGCAGGTTAGGAACAGCAGATAGCGGAGCCTGGCAGTAATAAGCCACTGCGGGATTCCATGGTGATGCATCAGTGGTCCACACACTTAAACACAAGCAGCGCAATTAAACACAAAATGGAAGCCAGTGGTGCACATCAGAAGCTTGAAGCAGTGTGAATAGAGACACAATGAAGTGGGGCCTTTTGAAAGTGGGAGAATTTGCCAAGTGCCTGATGAGGTTTAAATATGATCAACATTTGAAATGTGTCATTTTCCAAATGTAATTTTATATATATATAAAAAAAAATCACCTGCTATTATGTTTAAAGCTCTTGAATTTTACACTTTTTAAAAACAGCGTTCTAAGAGAGTTGTATTCAACGCAATACTGCAGTAAGCAAGTTATTTTTCTCCCTTTTGACCAAAAACACTAGATCATACTGGATCTTAAATAATGGTCATATACTGTATGTATCAAAAAAAAATTACAGGATAGAAAGAAACAAGTTTATGTAGTCAAGGAAAATCTGTTAAACCACTGTGTTTTATTTGATTCCTTCTTCTAAAGGTACATTACATGATGAAATATGGTAAAAAAGGCAAAAAAGGTGATTTGTAATTTTCTCCATGACAGAATATTACCCCCAGTTTTTAGTCCAAAATTATTAACACCCCTAACATATTTATATTGGAAGTACTTTTTAAACTTTACCAGTATGTCTCTACTAGCTGAAAAAAATTAGGAGTGACTAAGTAAGTATTGAGTTTTTCTAACTTCAAAGACTTTGAGCTCATTTCCAAAGATCAGAAGAAATATACATAAAAAAAAGACATGTTAAATGACAACAAGAAATATTTTTTTTCAAACTTAGATTCCTTTTACTTAATCGTTGTTCTTTTTTTTTTTGGGTAGGTGTTGGGATTAGAGAGTTTTAAAAAAAAATTATTTACTGTGCAGAGCACAATGGCTGCCATTACTGCTAGTGTCTAAGTGAATTGGCCTCTAAGTATGGCTTACAGGTAATTGTTAAAGGGCTTTGGAGAGCAGTATCAGCCATTAAGGCATCCCATTGTCAAAATATGAATGTATGGGTTTCAAATCTTCTGACAGAATAAAAAAGAAATGATATAAATGCATTTTTTTTTATATTTTACTTTTATTGTTTTGTTTTTTCTTACCTTTAGACATTTCTTATCTATTTTGTCTTAAAATGTTCTTGTTTTTTTTATTAAGTTGTAAAGGACTTTTTGCACCACATGAATTATTTAAATGTTCCATTGAAAAAAACTGATTGATTTGAGCATCTAAACATACCTGTCATGGTTTTGGTTATGTTGTGCTTTACTTTGCTCCTTGTTTTCTAGTTTTATTGGTTTAATTCCTATTTGGTTGTAATTTCTAGATTTATGTTAGTTCTCATGTTTTCCTCTGTCCTCTGTTGCCCTCTTGTGTGTGTGTTCCTTTCCCCTTGGCTCCCTCGTTGTCTCCTCACACCTGCTCCTTATCAGCTCGTTAGCCCTCCCTTTGTCTTTGTCAGCTATGTATGCTCTCCCTCTGCTCTCACTTTTTGTTGGTTCCTGGTTGTTGCTGGTCCTTTCTTCGCTGTAGTCGTCTCCCCTCGTCTCTCCCTGGCTCCTTGTACGTGTTTTCCCTTGATGTCTCCATTGTTTTGGTCTGTTACATTTTTAGTTGGATTTTTGGACTACCTTTCTTTACCATTTTCATTGAAACTACTAGTATTCACCTCTGCCTCTGC